CAGCTTTCCCTTCCAGTTCCCACACTCAGCTCCTAATGATTCCCAGCCGCACCTGGAGGAGGCCGCCGAGGAAGCGGGGGCTTGTTTATACAGCCATAGGAAAGGTCCCCGTGGCCCGGCTGTGCTGTGTGGGGTGGCCCCACAGCCCCGTCACCCCAGGGGACAAGGTGCTTGAGGATGCCACCCGAGGTGGTGGCTCTAACTCAGTGCCACACTGGTGCTTAAATGGTGCCCCATGCTAGAGCTGGTGACGAGGAAAACTTCCCCATTCCCAGCTTGGGGGGCTTCAAGAGTTGCCCTTCCTCCTGGAGGACATACCCATGTGCTGGTGGTATGGGCTTCATACCATCTGGGGCTCAGGTGGTTACAGGGGTGTGCTGAGGCTGCGATGCTGTTCACACACGCCCCAGACGCAGGCCTGAAGGGGAAGGAGCAACAGGTCACACCATGGAGAGTGGTGATGCCTTACGCTGGCTCATAAAGGATGCTGCAGCGGGGACTCCTGCCACCAGGGCACCCTCCTGCCGCCACACAGCCCTTATTGCCCTCTTGTGGCACCCGCTCAGCACCACAACCATCCCTATCCCTGTCCTTGTCCCTGTGCCCATGGCTGTGGCAGCAGAGGCAGGCCCACCGTTCCCCCGAGGAATCATATCCCCACCAGGATGGGTACGAATTGCCACCCTGCTTCCAGCCATCCACAAACCCCCAACAGATGCAGCCCTAACGCAAGCACCGCGCAGGGCCAGCAGAGCCAGGCTCCCCTCGCAGGGCAATTGGAGCAAGCTTTCCCTCATTCATCCTCCGTCTCACAGGATAAAGATTCCTCTGGTCCTCGCTCAGGGTTTGGCAGCATTTTGTGAAGCATTGGGCTGGTTGTGACTGGAAAAGGTCAGGGGGGACGGCATCAACTCCACTGATGATGACTTGCATGGCACTGAATGGGTTTGAGGGGGAAACTACTGCTTACTACTGATGGCCACAGTGATGAGGACAGTGACAGGCATGGACCAGATCCAGCTGCAGGCTGCTCGCATGTACACAGAGCCAGTCCTGGGCTCTGCATCCCCTCTTTGCCACATGAAGGGATAACCAAGCCATGTGCCCTGAGTGAGAACAAGCAAAAGTCCACCCCTGCACCCAGGCCTGCTGCAGTTCTCCAGCACCCTAATGCCCACCTCCTCCCAAGTCCTTCAGTCAGAAAGCTTGGCACAGCACGGGGCTGCCATTGCTCCAGTGCAGCCCCAGCAGACCTCCTCCTCTCCTCCTCCTCGGTGGGATTATGTGCACAGCCCTGCCAGCACAGCTTTGAAGTGCAGCCCTGGTAACAAAGCTTCTGCTGCAGGAATGGGAAAACACTGGGACAGAAGCATCTCCCCCTCCATCACTCACTGGCCAGGGCAGAACTGGAGAAATGAAGCAGTTCTGCAAGAGCCAAATCTCCAGGCAGGGACCAGGGAATATTTGCTCTGCACACACAACATCTTTGCCCTCTTGCTCTAGCCCTGTGACCAAAGGGTTGTTTCCACCAGCGTGGGTGACACACAGAGCTACCTAAGGACCGTCATCAAGCTGTGGAACCCTCTTGCTCTCAGAGCCGGACAAGCCGCAGATGTGGGGCTAAGGAAGAAGTGGGGTGGAAGGTGGGTCTATTTACCCCACAAAGTGCTGGCCAAAGGCCAGGCCTTAGGCAGAAACCGCCTGGTGCCTCTTCCAAGGCACTGGCCCAGTGTGGAGCTGCCTCTTTCCCCATCAGCGGGTGACAAGCAGCTCTGCACGCACTGCATTGAGTCAGTGCTTCGCTGGTGGCCTCCCCAGCACCGCATGGCCGAGCCCCGGGTGCACCGGGGGACCCGTTTTAGGCTCTGGTGACAGAGGCATCAGCAAGCGCTGCTATAAATAGTGGTGTCGAAGGAACGAGGTGCTCAGGCTGTTCAAATCCTGGCACGGCCCCGCTAGCGCTGATAGCGAGTGCCCTTTGCTTGTTCTCCTGCCGCCGGGTGCTCTTATCTACTCCTCCAAGTCCGGGTGTTTCTGTCACCCCGTCACCAGGTGCCCTGCTCTGACATTTCAGCCTCCTGGGGTGGCTGCAGGTCCCTGCTCGCATTTGTTGGCCCTTATTCTGCGCTTCAGAAAGGATGTAAGACTGAATGTGCTGCAGGGACAAGGTGGAGCCCCCTCATGGGACCCCTCGTGGCCAGCACCACAGGGGTGGAAGGACAGCCCTGTACTTGCATGGTCCCTGCACACCGGGACGTGCTGCTGGCCGTGCAGGCATCACTGCAGATATGGGGTTTCACTGCACTTCAGAGCACTCCTGGATTGCTGCTTTTCTCCTGCAAGGAGCTGGAGTCGTCCTCCAGACCTGACGTTACCTCTGGACCTTTATGTTATGGTGATGGGGAAACTGAGGCAGGGGGGTGTCACGACTTACCCTATATGTAGGTGAGGACCAGGAGGGCAGAGCCCGCACACTGCCTGACCTCCTGCCACACAGCTGCTCACCAGGGCTGTCACCTCCTCAGCAAGAACCCCCCTGAATCCATGGGGTTAAAGCCTGGATTTGTGATGAGAAGCAGTTCTGGCTGCTCAAAGACCATGATTACCTCATGAACATCTGCGCCCACAATAGCTGAGTGGCAGCACAGTTCTGCACCAGCTCTGCCTTCGCTCCCTCCTCCTCCGTGCTCTTCATTTTAACGCACACTCATCACAAAGCCCGATGAGAGCCCCAGAACACGGGCGACAGAAACAAAACCCTCAGGCTTGCAGCAAACCAAGAGCAAAACATCACAGACCCAGCGCTGGGCCCCTGGAGCCAGGCAAGGGCTCGGGGTGGTCTTTGCATGGACATCAGAGGCGGCTCTTGGCTTTGGCATGGACATCCCGACCTCAAAGGGCAGTGTGGGCCCACCCGGACTTGCACTGGTGCAACGTGGGCCTTATCAGTGCTGGGATCTGTCGATCCTCCAGGCGTCTGGTGGAAGAACACGCAGGGCAAGCATTCCAGCGAGCAGGAACACTCTGCTGAGGGCCATCCATCCGTCCCTTGAACGAACACCCATAGCAGGGATGCTGCCCAGGGGCCTATGGACATTCCTTGGCTATATTTGGTGACAGATGGAGAATTTGTTGCTTCCCCTTAATCCATCTGTTCCCATTGGCAGGGAGGAGCCACCAGCAGAACTGCAGTGTCGCTATTCGGATAAAGCCGGTACTTCAGCAGCAATAGATCTCCTCTAAAAAGCTTTTGCTGCCTCCCACCTGTTGGCTGGGAGATGGAGTTGACAAAAGTCTTCTGCCAAGCAGTATTTTTACCCAGGCCCTTATCACGAGCCCAGGTTACAATAAAAGCCTGTTGACAAAGCAGAGGGATGGAGCTGGATCACAGCACATCTCTCAACTGGCATTGCACCTCTCCCACAGCTCTCCAGTTCCCAGCTAGCTGCTTTGATTCTATTTTCTGGATGCCCTTAATCCCCCAAAAGCCCTTTTCCTCCTCATCACACCCATCCCCTCACCATAAACATGGGAGATCCGAAGCCGGGACCCCAGGCTCTTGCTGACTGCACCAGGAAGCCAAAATACCCACTGTGAGAATGGCAACAGAGCGAGGCTGGGACAACACAGTTTATTACAGAACGACACCCGGAGGGGTTCCATAAAGGCAGCCCATCCATAAGGAAAACCACCGGAGGACAATGAAGTGAAACCCACAGCAACAACACACAGCGGGAAGTCCAGTCCTTGGCCAGGGCAGCACAAGAAGCACAACCAGCCCATCCGGGTGGGAGATGTGCCCAGACCTCATCCCCCAGCCCAAGGAGACAGCACGGAGGGGCACACAAGGGAAGTACGAGAGCAGCAAATCCACCTCTGCCACTTGTAGGGATGGAGAGGAAACACCGTGAGAAGCCACGTGGGGAGAAGCAAACAGGGCAGCCACTGCGGGAGCAGAAACCCCTCCTTGCACAAGGGCTGGGGAGGTGCAGAGCGAGGTCTGCCTCACTTGGGGTGCATCCGCTGAGCCCCTAAACTGTGCTGGCAGCAGGAGAACCTGCCCCTGCCCGCACCATACCCCTGCCGCAGCTCCTGCGTGTCTCAGGACAGAAAGGCAGCCGTGAAAGCTGCTGAGATCCAGGCCCGTGCCCCAGAACCATTGCACGCTGCACAGCACCTTCAGACAGGCCATCTCCTCCTGCACAGCACAGCCCTGCCAACACCCCTTATCTGAAGCACCCATCCCCAGTGGCTGCTCTTGCATCCTTATCCAACCCCATCAGCGCCCTGCGGTTCCCAAGGGCTTGCTGACAGCTCCATTCCTCTTCCACCATCACCGCCTGGGCTGGCAGGACACCAGGGATGTGTTTCCTGGGAGGCCAGGCTGTTACCCAGCTGCAAAAAGGTCTCTGAGATACAGTTCAGATCCCAGTGTCTGGGGTTCACGTTGAAAAGACAAGACCTTGTTACAAACCTTGTTATAAACCCGTCTATTAACAGGTTATGTTATTAGCTACTCATGTCTTTCAAGACTGTTTTGTGTTTGGATTTTAGACTTTTCCCTTTGCTCCTCGCCCAGCTGTGATGAGTAACAGTCAAAGTGAAACAGTTCTGGGGGGGGTGGAAAGTGCAATTTGCTTTATCACTGCTAGAGGAGGATTTAGTGCAAAGAGAAAGGAGTCTCCTGAGCCATGGGAGGCATCACCAGCTCGTTCGTATGATCATGCAAAGTGCCCTGCAAAGGCGAGGCAGAGGCAATCACATACCTCAGAAACCTCAGCCCATGGAGCTGGTGTTTGCCTGACAACACTGAGCATCCTTTGTGCCCAGCCATGGCTGCGCTGCCTGCAAAAGACAGAGGGGGAATAAAACCCACAAGAAGTAATCTTTAATTCCTCCCCCCCCCAAAAGCATCCTTTGGGACAGGGTTTTGTGCAGAAGCATCAGTGTGATTTTCACACCCATCTGGAAGCAGCTCTCTGATTGATTTCTCTTCCAAGCCATTGGAGCTTTGCTTCTCCCGCACAGCATCGCTAGCAGAGGAGGCTATTTTAGGAAACACCAGAGGTTTTCAGAAGATACCAACTCATTGGGCTCAGCCTGGAAAGGGGGAATGAAATCCTTTCATTAAATCCCCCAGGCTGAAATCCTCTGCCCATTTACCTAAATGGACTTCAAATGGTGTTCCTAAAGGTCTGCCTTTCACTTAACCCAAGCCCCAGGCGTGTGGCTGCAGACCCTGGGGCGCTCACAGCAGAGCTGGCCATTGAAGGTCTCACTGAGATGATTATGAATCACACAAGTGGCAAACCCAAACCCAAGTGGGCCCACAACTCATTAACCCAGAGCTCCGAGCAGAAAACAGGACTTTTGCCTTTCTTTTGCATGTGTTTGCTTCAATCTTCCCCGATTTTAGCGCATGAAAGGAAAGCTGCTCAGCTGACAAAAACCCTGCTGAAAAGCCAGGAAGGATTTGCTGGCTGGGGAGGAGGGGCTGCCCCCTGTGAAGGAACAATGTCGTGGTGGCACTGGAGTTAAAAAGGGGCAAGATTTGGTTTCAAAGCTGCAAGAAGGGGTTTTGTGCGCTCCCACCTTTCCAAGTCCAACAGCTCAGCCCGGCAGTTTGCTTTGTAGGTCAAGGCTTTGGGAATCACCTGGGGTTTTAAAGAAACACCAATAAATTAAACCTGGTATAAACAGTGCACAAAGGGAGGGCTGCAGCCTCCAGGGGCTTTGCCTGAAGCAAGCGCAGAGGAAAGGGGAAACGGCTCATGGGGCTGCCCGGGAACAGGGACAACGCCAAGACATTGCAATGATACAGAGGCAAAAGGAAGCCTTTCATCAGCCCCTTCCTCCATCCATGCCCCCGACACGGCTCCCGCTGGGAAGAACTTCGTGCTCAAAGGGCAAACGCTCTGCACCTTGAGAGCCCAGCCCAGGTGAGTGCGGTGCAGGGGTGAAGCTCTGCTGACCAGCCAGCTCCACTACTTGCTGTTGGGGGTTTGCTTCTCCTGCACCGGCTGCTTGTGCTTCTGGGCGATGCCATAGGGGACATGGGCAGCGATGGTGCCCATCTCTTTGGCTCCCTCCACGTGGAACATCTGGTCATCAAAGAAGATGTGAGGACGGATCTTCTTCAGCAGCGGCCCCTTGGGAGCCCCGGCCAGGAACAAAGCCTCATCCGTCTCCAGGCCCCAGCTGCGCAGAGTCTTTAGTGCCCGGGCCCCGGAGCTGGCCGCGCTCCTGGCAGTGACCAGGTAGGTGCGAATGGGACATTCCATCCTCAGCCCCTTGCAATAGAACTTCTTCTGCAGCTTCCCCAGGGCCTCCAGGAAACCCTTCAGGGGTCCCTGTTGGGGCAAGAAGAAACCATCACTGTGCAGAGCTCCACGTTATCCCTTCCTCCAGGCACCCAGTCCCAGCAGAGCCAGACACGTGGCAAACCCCTTCTCCCTGTGGGCCCCAGGAGCAACAGCATGGGGCCATCTGCAGCCATCCCATGGGCCAGCTGACCCACGGCATCTCACACTCCATGTGCCAACCCCTGGCTTGCTCCCAGAGGCAAGAACATCCCTGTGGGCTGCCTTCCAGAGGCTATTTCTGGCTGGACCCCAGCGCTACCTGTGCCAGAGGCTTGTTCTCGTGAGCCTTTTCGTGCTCAAAAAACATGTCCAAGCCGTGAGCCTTCACAATCTGCTCCGACTCATCAGAGAAGAGCACAGCATCACCATCGAACGCCACCCGCAGCTGGTTCTCCGACACCTCCAGGTCTTTGCTGGGGCTGAAGATGGTGGCTGCAGCGATCCCTGTGGAGGTAAAGCGTGAGGCAAGAAGCAGCAGTTACCCAAGGACCCAGCCTCGTGGCTTATTCATTGAGGAGCAAAGTAAAACGCAACAGGCTGGAAGCAAACGCTGCAAGGAGATGCATGCACCCAATAGTGCCTGCAGGTTGGCCCCAAGACCTTTTACAGCAAACAGATGACAAACCTCCCTTGGCATACAAGAATTAATGGGGGAAAACAGTGCTTTTGCCTTGGAAGAGCTGTGAAGCTTGAGAAAAACCTTATTACTATGGAAACTAGAGGCTGGCGCATGAAGGATGGGATGTGGGACAAGGCAGACCCTAGCTTTCACACTGATGCAGGGACATTGGAGCTATGGCTGTTGACACCAACCCTCTGAGGGCTCCAGGCTCCCCCCACTTTCCCCCACAAGCCAAACCTCAGACTCACCCTCTTCAATGGCCCCACTCACTTTCTCGGCGTCGGAGGAGAGGTAGAGGTTGGTGTGGTAGGCCTTGAGGTAACAGATGGGGCTGTTCCCTCCCGTCATGCAGAACCTCTCGATGAACAGATCTGAGGGCAGATGGACCCAGGGTGAGCCCCGCTGCCCCAGAAAAGCCTTGACACTGTTCCCCCATGGCCTCCCAAGAGCAGCAGGATGGGGCTAACCTTGGTACCACTGCTCAACAGCACGGCTGATGGCCAGAGCATCCTCACCACCAACCATCACCACTGAGAGCCGAGGAAACAGGGGAGAGGTGGGCTCAGCACGTGGTTTGGAGGAAGAGATGGGAGAACACATCTCCATATCCCACTGCCAAGCAGTAACACTGCCTAAAGCCATGGGCACCTGCACAGAGCACGGCTTTGCTCTCACCATAGTGGTTGATGCTGTTGATCAAGCGAACCCCAACCTGGGCATGGTTGTTGGTCATGAGGACGATGTCGAAGAGCTCCTCGCTGTCAGGGTAGAGCTCACGCAGCTTCGTGTTCACTGCTTCCAGCGCCTGCAGCACCCAGGGTGAAGGGAAGGAGTCAGTGAGGCCCCAACACAGCCCTGACCCCCTCAGCACCGAGCAAAACCCTTCTGTGACCAAAGCCAGGGATCTGACCGACCCCAACCGCACCGTGGTGACCCCAGCAAGTGCCTTTAGCTGGGGAAAAGGGACTGATGTGGGGAGCACCCATGGAGCTGCTCTGCTGTTTGCACACACAAAAGGTTTCAGGCTTTCATGAGGAGATGGGAATAACTCTGAGTTAACAGGTAAGTGTTTTTCAAGCAATCTGAAACCAAATGCCTCGCTGCAACATGTCAGCACTAGGAGCTGGCGGCTCCAGCAAGGCTGAATTCAGCCAGTTTAAAAGAATAAATACAATTTAATTAAAAAACCTCAAATCCAATAAAAATATGAGAATTCCCCAGCAGGAAATGATCCAAATGGATGAGTTCTTCAATTCCTGGGCTCCGTTGCCAACTTGGAAAATCCAGCATTTCCTCAGTCTTGGAAGAAGCACATCACTTGCCAGGAAGTTTATTTGACCTCCGTTTGCTCCGTGGCTCCATCCCTTCTGCCACACTGCTCATTTCCCACCCCTTCCCCACACGAGCACCCCATTGCTCTCCCCTGACACTTTGGGTGAGGACCACGGAGCGGGTCTCGGCTGTGGCGGGTGGATGCTCACCTTGACGAAGGGGAAGGCAGCCCCGGGGAGGAAGGGCTCGTTCTCGTGGTCCAGCTGGTATTTCACATAGGCCTCCACCCCCTGCTCGCTGTAAATCTTCTGCTCCTCCTCCATGCGGAACAGCGCGCGCGAGGACACCGCGATGGTGATGGCGTTCTCGGGCTTGGGCTGCAGGGAAAGGGAGGCAATGGGGAGGCAGCCCCTGCACCAGACCCGAGATGGGATCTGCTGACTTCAGCATGAACGGCCACGGTGCGGGTGACACCTCCATAGCGATGCGAAGGATAACGGGGCAGCTGCAACCCTGATGTTCCAATGCTTCACCAGGCGAAGCCTTGATGCACCATCCCCACGCATTCAGGATACCCAAGAGCCTTTTTCTGCTGCTCGCATCATGCCAAAACCCTCCCAAAGCAAACAGGCTCTCAGGATCCACCCCGACCCAACGTGCTACCCCAGGAGAACCACTCAACCCCAGGCAGAAGGAATTTGGGTGGCTTTTCCCCACCTCCCCAGCCAGCAAAAGCCACACACTGCGGCTTGGCCTGTTCTGCACTCCCACGATGCTGTCCAGATGTGACAAACAACCCGTGCCAGCTCAGCTCATAAAAACACTTGATATAGCTATTGTGGGCGGAAACATGACAAACAGGTGGTGCAAGCAGTGATTTATGAGTCATTATTATTAATGTTCGAGGGCTTGATCCAAAATCCACTGAAGTCAGCGAGGGGCCTTGGCAGCGAGAAAGGGGACGCCAGGAAAGTCAATCTCGCCTTGACCCCCACCCGTCCTTCCTCCCCCCCCTCGGAGGGCACAAGGGTGCTAATCCCCATCACTTGCTCACAAGTATGAAAGCGAGTTCGTTACTGATGGCCAGCAAGAAATCCTCGCTCCCAGAACAGCAAATCCCAAGGAGGGAGAGCGGTGCAGCTGCCCTGTCCCCAGCAGACTCTGCCCACAGCAAATCCCAGGAGTGGGACAGGGTTTGGGGCTCACACCCGGGATGCTCCCTGGGTGCAATCCCAGCCCATGTGCTCTCTGGCTGTGCCCAGGGATGCATCTGCGCAGGGAGCCCGTGAAATCCAGGTCATCAGCACTCCAGAACCACCTCACCCTCAGCTCCCCTGTGACTTCCAGGATCCTGGCGCTGCCCCTGTGAGTAATGCTCCAGCAATGCCGTTTGCCATGGGGCAGGAGGGCGCCTTCGCCAGCTCCGCACACCCAGGTGCTCCGGAGTTCAGGCTCCCACCCCGCCTAGGGCTGAGCTGCACAGGAACAGCAGCCGGGCAGGGACACGGCACCCATCAGCACTGGGGATCCTGCCCTGGGGCTCGCTCTGCCCCCAGCCCGCCCCCGCTGATCCTGCGGAGCCTGGAGACGCACCCAGGGCTGAGTCAGTGCAGCCCCGATGCCGTTCCCAGCCCCGATGCCGTTCCCAGCCTTTTGAGCAGTACCCGAGGCCAGCCCTGCAGTGCGGCTGATCCCTGAACACCTCTCCAAAGCCACACGAGTACCCAGAGCCCCCGCACACAGATTAGAGAGCACATGATGACTTGACACACATTAGCTCAGGCTGAGGACATCCCTAAGGCCAAAGAGATCCCTTTCCCACTGCATTTGCAAGGAATTTGGTCTCATTTGGAAGCATTCCTTTTGCACAAGCAGTTAAACACCCCTCGGAGCACGAAAGATCACTGAGGTCCATGCGGAAGCTGATCAGCAACACCAGCATCACTCCCACCAGTGAACCACAGCCAGGTCCCCATCTCACCTTTAACCCACCCAGTGGGTGCTAGCTATTAACCTGGAGGGCCAGGTTGAGACTTGGCCTGTGACAACTCATTAATTAATAACTCTGGTGTCATGGGCCATTTATTAGCTGAAAATATTAATAACTAGTAAAGGTCTTGGACATCCGGCTGTTAGCCTTCAGCAGGGAGCCCTGCTGCTCCATGCAGGTCCTGAGTTCCTGCCAGCACTGGGTTATTTATCCAGGTACACAGGAGATCCACTGGGTGTTTGCTCCCTGCTCCCGGTCCCCAATGGACAATGGGGCAGAGCATCCTCCCCAGAACTGTCAGGAAAGCAGCACCCACAGCACAGGGAGATGTTCCAGGGTGCTGAGGCGCTGGCACAGGGTGCCCAGAGAAGCTGTGGCTGCCCCATCCCTGGCAGTGTTCAAGGCCAGGTTGGACACAGGGGCTTGGAGCAAGCTGCTCGAGTGGAAGGGGTCCCTGCCCGGGGCAGGGGTTGGAGCTGGAGGAGCTTTAAGGTCCCTTCCAACCCAAACCAGGCTGTGGCTCTATGAGATGCGTGGGGCTGCAAGCAGAGCCTAACTGGGTTCCCAGCCCGGATTTGCACCTCTGTCTCCCCACACCTTGCACTGGGCGGGTGCCAAGAGCACAAGCACCTTGCACAACGGCAGCCAGGCTGCTCAAGGTCCCTTCCCTGCCATTAAAGGCACCAGCCTCCAGGAGGTTCATTTAAGAGGCAATAAACACAGCAATAAAAATAACCATAAGCCTGGGGCCTCGCTCTGCCCCGGCCTGGGCTGGAGCCCCAGCTGCCTCCGGGTGGGAAACCCGGCCTCCGGGAATGGGACCTGCCGGATCCTGTTCGCTCCTGCCAAGGAAGATTTGCACCTTTGGAGGACTTTCTGCAGGAACATCTCAGCCGGGCGCTAACGCAGCTCTGGGCTGGGCTGGGATTATCCCTGTTTGCTCGCCGGGAAATGCTGATGTGGACAGAATAAGGCAATTCTGCTCTGAGAGGAGGGATCTGCGCTTGGCCATTCCTTTGAAGTGGAGGTTTCACTTGGAAGCGTTCCCTCCTCAAGGTTGTTTGGATGCCTCTCCATCCCCGCTGGTACTGCAGGAGATCATTACCACATCCAAAACCAGGCTACAGGAACCGCAGCACCGCGAATCCTCTGTCAGAGCCCTGCAAACAGCCCAACAAACCCCCCTTTGCCCTGAAACGTCACAATCGGGGGGGAAACACCCTTCATTTTTAACAGGAAATGTGTGCATGGAAAGGTCCTGCTCACAGCGCTCGCTGGGACGTGCTCAGTCCCACAGGCCGTCATGGAGCTCAGCGCCCATCCCAACACAGCCGCTTGCTGCCCCGGCCCAGTAGGTTTGGGCACTCTGAATGGCAAACCCTGATTTACCCTCCGAGGAGCAGCCAAGGTCAGTTAAGGCTCAGGAAGTGGCTGCAGGGCTCTGCCCAGCCGAATCCAACCAAATGTGCTGCCTGGGGATTCCTGGTGGGTCCTGTCCCTTCCCATGGGAAGGTCAGATCCAGCCCCATCCTGAACATCAAGCAAGAGGTTCACGATGTGTCTAACAGAACGAGCAGGCAGCATGGGGGAAGGTCCCATCCCACCCCTGGGCTCAGCCACACAGGAGAGATGACCAGGAACATGTCCTGACAGCCCAGCCTTCTGAAGAGGAGCATCACCCCTTGGCACAGGGGCAGTGGGTGCCCCGCAAGGTCCAAACCCACCCATCTCAGAAGCATCAGTGACCCTTTCCTGCAGGTTCCAGCTCCATAAAGGGCAAAATCCATCCCAGACCCCAACACCCTGGGGTTGGGTACAGATGTATTCCTGTACATTGCACATCCTCCTCTGCAGACCCAACAGCTGCTGCCTTTAAATGACTCCTTTCATCACATAATTAATCTCACAAATCCTAAGCACCTTCCCCAGGGATTGGGGGCAGACATTTGGAAATCCCACATGCTCCCAGATGTGCCACAGTGGCACCAACACCAGCACTGCCCTCCCTGGCTGGCTCTGAGGAGGAGCCACAGCAGGGATCCCCTTCTGCACCCCTTGAACCTTTTGCACTGCCTGGAGCTGAATCAAGGACCCACCTTGACCCTAAAAACCTGCAGGAACCCTGGCCCTTCCCTGGATGCTGCAGAAGACCAAAACTGTGGCCAAATTGGAGATGAATATTGGAGAGGTTTGGCCACAGAAAGGGAAGGGTTTGCTCCAGGCTCAAGCATGGTCCCTACCGCACCTAAAACACCCCAAAACTGAGCACCCCAGGGAGCCGGATTGGGTCCCCATGGGTGCAGGGGACGGGCAGAGCAGCTCCAGCTCCCACCATCCCGGCCTCTCCTCCCTGCAGTGTCACTGGAGAGGCCAGGGGACATACCCCGCATTGCTGAGGGGTGACAGGTCCCATCGCTGACCTCCCCGGCTGCCAGCAGCGAGGTGGGAGCAGGCTTGGGAAGAGCAGAGACCCCTGCAAAGCCGGGGAGCCCCGTGGGGACGTCCTGTCCACCCATATCCCAGCCTGGAATGGGGTCCTGCGCCTTACAGCCCCCCTCCAAGAGGAGCAGAGCCCACAGCTCGCTCCTGCTCCCCCATCACCGGACCCTGCTCCGGCTGCCAGAGCCGCTGAGCCAGGAGGACGGACAGACCCACCGGGACCGACAGACCCACGGGAACGGGTGACAGCGAGCTCCATTTCCACATGCAAAAGGGAGCCCCGGGCGGGTGCGAGCCCCCTGCTCGGGATCGGATTAAAGTTCAGGGCAATGGCTGGGATGGCTTTGAGTTTTCCAGAGGCATTATTTATACTCGGAGAGTGCCCTGCAGGCATCCATCACGGCCCCGGCAGCTGCCTGGCAGCGCTGTGCTGTGTGACGGCAGCCGAGCTGCTGGCCATGGGCACAGGGGTCCCCAGCTTGCCCCATGGAAGGGCATGGGGCCAGGCTGGAATTGCCCCCAGCCCCACATGGAGGATAACGTAGCCTAGTCCTGAATGCAGGGATCTCAGATCTGCTGTTGGGAATCTGGGAACACGCAGGGAACTGAGGGAATCCAGGGAGATGGGGGCAAGCCGGATTGATCCCAGGCAACCAAAGGCAACCCAGGGATGCCATGGAGGGGTGGGGGCACTTAGAGAGATGAAGGGGTTCCCCAAGGACCTGGATTGAGATAGGGGCTCCAGGAAAAAACAGAGACACGCAGGGGGACCCTGGAGAGGCTGGGGGACATGGAGCACCCAGAGGGCTCCATGGGGAACCCAGAGAAGATGAAACACCCAGGAGGACCCTGGAGCATCTGCAGGAGATGGGGCACCCAGAGAGACCCAGAAAAGAGGAGGCACCACATCGGTGCCCCGTGCCTCAGTTTCCCTAGCTGTACAGCAGAGAAAGGCGCGCTGGTCACGGCGCTGGCCACAAGGAGAGGAAGAGGAGGAGCCCGGGCTGATGACAGCACGAAACGAGAGCACCCAGCGGCATCCCACCACCAAGCCAGGCTGCCCCTCTCCTCCGGGGAGGGTGACGGCCGCAGCGCTGAGGGTTGGCAGCGCCGGGGGCTGCAGCCGGGTCCCAGCACGGAGTCCACGGCAGCTGCTGCCCGGCAGAGCTTTGTCCCCGCGCTCCCCACATCCACACCGCAGGGACCCGCAGCCCCCGGGGTGGCCGTGGCCGTGGCCGGGTGGGCTCCGAGGGGGCCCAGCCTCACGCACCGCAGCTACGGGCGCGCTTCCAGGCGCTCCCATGTTCAGCCCTGGTTAGATAACGCAGGCTTTACCTCTAATCGCCCCGTAGCAGGCGAGCCTGGCAGGGGCCTCTCTACCCCTGTGACACCCCGGGCAGGGACTCGGCTGTCCCCCTGCTCCGCTGCAGCCACCTCTCCTGTCCCTGGCAGGGCCTCCTGCCTTGGCACAGGCAGCTCCTGGGGCACGGAGCCGCTCTTGCAAGGACACCTCAGCCCAGGAGGGACCCGGGGACCTGCGGGAACCCAGAGAGACTGCAGGGATCCTGAGAGATATCGGGCAAATGAGTGATGCCACAGAGTGGGAGCACCTGGAGAGAGGCAGGGATTCCCCAAGGGCCTGGATTGAGATGGGGGCTCAAGGGAAAAACAGAGACACGCAGGAGGACCCTGGAGAAGCCGGAGGACATGGGGCATCCAGCGGGTTCCACGGGGGACCAGGAGAAGATGAGACACCCAGGAGGACCCCAGAGCATCTGCAGGAGATGGGGCACCCAGCGGGACCCGAAGGAGATGGGGATGCGGGGAGGAAAGGGGAAGCACTCAGAGGGGCTGGCTCCCATCTGGGTCGGGGGCACGGCGGGGCTCTCACCGATTTGGGTTTCTTCTTGGGGGCGAGGTTATCGTAGAACGCTTTGGCCTCCTCCCAGGGCCGCCCCGCCGCGCCCGGCGCCCCGGCGGTTCCCGGCGGCTCCATAGCGCGGCGGCTCCGGGGCACCGGCGGGTCCGCACGTACCGGGCGCTCCCGGAGCCGCGGCCGTTCGGCGGAACGCGCTTTATAAGGCATCCCATGAAGCTCCGGGGTTTCAGCCCACCGGGCCACGGTTTAACCGCTTCGGGACCGAGCCCGAGCCCGCCGCCCCCCGAACACCGGAGTCGCTCCGGAGCAGAGTCAGCGCCGGGGGCTGCAAACGCCGAGGAGCGAAGGGAAAGGGCTGGGGACGGGGTGGCACCAGCAGAGAGCGCGGGGAGGGCACCTACGGGTGGCACCGGGGGGCTCTCGGTGGTCGCCGGGGTTTGCTCACCCCTGCAGAGCACAGGGGGGCACCGGGGAGCTGAATGAGCACAAGGAAGGGTCAGGAGCAGGAGCCCGTGAGTGCCCTGCGCTGTGTGTGGTTGGTGGAATGAATGTGGGTATTAATGAGGGCTCTTCACTAAGCGTTCTCCCACAAGAGCTGGTGGGGTTGAGTCCTACCAAAGGTGTGCATAGAGCTAGGGCTGAAAATGGACCAATAGACACCAAACACACCCCCCCCCCCCCCCCCCGAGGGCCTGGGGAGCAGGGAGTGAACCCCAGAGACCAAAACCCACCAGGCAGGAAGAGCCAAGGGATGGAGGATCCCACTTCACCTCACCCAGCACAGGGCAGAGCCGCAGCACCGAGCTCAGCAGAAGGGTTTTACCCAAAGCAGCCCTGCCCCTATAGACCACAGCCTCAGGGAGCCCCCTTTTCCCTGCCCTTGAGACAACCAAACACAACCTGGCTTGCACTGAAGTTCAGCCACAAGAGCCCGGCCAGGTGAGGTGAACAGGGCTGGCTCCAGGCCTCACCCAGCTGCCTGGATCCCAAACCCTTTGGGATGCCCTCCTTGGATTTTAACATCATTTCAGCCTCATCAAAGGCTCCTTTTCCCTTTGCAGGTCCCTCCTGAGACATACCTGAGCTTGCTTTGGGGTGGCCTCAAGGGAAGCCCGAGCTCTGAGGGCCCCAGGATCACTGAGGCCATTCTTGAGTCCCAGCTTGAGTTGCTGCCCTTTCCAACAGCAGCCCTGGCACATCCCCAGGCTCCCGCACAGCAGCAATGCCCTGGTGTCCCTTGTCCCCCCTTCCCCAGGCACTGCTGAGCTGCAAACGCACACGCAGAGCCCAGGCATGCCCAAGGTGCAGAGCTCCCTTGCCAGCAGCACTCCTAAACATGCACACACTGCTCTGGCTTGGGCATCTCGCATCGCTGCGCTCGGGTGCTGGGTGCTGCAGGGCGGATGAGATGTTGGTGGGTGCAGGGTGACCAAGCACCCAGCCAGGAGCCAGCCCTGCCTGTTCACTATGGAGAAGTGCTCCAAGCTGGTGAGAGCTCCCTAGCAACAGGCACGGTCCCTGCTGGCTGCTGATGGAGGAGAAAGGCCAAAGGAAGACACGTGCAGGGAAGATGGGGGTGAAGAGAAGGCTGAGAAGGAGGATGCGGATACAGTGGCTGCAGGTTCCAGCTGCTGGTGGTGCTGGGATGGTGCCCAGGACAAAGCCACCAGGTCCCCAGGCTATGCCCAGCCCTGGACACAGCAAGGGTCCAGCTCCTGGTTGCCAAGGGAAACACATTTCCAGCACAGATCCACCCCGGATGGGTAACATCCTCCTCCCCAAAGCTACCTGCATGGCTGAAGGGTTTCAAATTCACCCATCTGAACCCAACTGTGCTATTCCCGAGGGCTTCTCCATCTCTTGGAGTGTCACAGATACCTATGAATGATGCTCAGAGCGCAGCGTTATCATCCCACTCTCCCCAGCAGCCTTTTGGGGGAGCACCACACAGGGGGGACAGTTTATTTTCCCATTAAAAAAATAGATAACCTCACCATTTAACAGATTACAGTCAAAACCACCACAGCGTGCAGACTAAATACCGGCCTGGGACAATATTCCTGTCCTTGGGCAGGAGGGATGGAGGCAGCAGGCTGGGGTGGGGGGAGGAAGGAGGCAGACAAGTTTCTTGTGGCCTCAGAGCCCTGCCAGGAGGCTCAGCAGGTACTGAGCCCATCCACACCTCTCCACAGCCCTGGTGCCCTGTAGTGCCATGCACCAGGATATGCCTTCAACACCCACACTCCTGTCACTGCCCCAGGGCAACCTGCAGAAGCCTTTGCCTTCAATGTGGGACCCCAGGCCACAGCTCAGTATCCAGGACCTCCACAGAGCATCCAAGATGCTGCTGGGGCAGTTGTGGAGGTCACCCACTTGCTCTGCCAGCTCCCAGAGGTGATGGGGTGGAAGGTGGCTTCTGGGATCAGACACTGGCCACATCCAGGGGTGGCCCTGGACACTGCTGCTGTCCCCTAAAGGAACCTGACAAATCCTGGCTGCTCCCAGCAGACAAATCAGAGCTGAAGAAATGAAACCAAGCACCCTGCCTGAGCTCCCAGCACCCCGGAGCCAGCCCTGGTCCTTCCAGGCAGGGAATTGCCAGTGAAGGACCAGGAGCAGGATCTGGGACTGACTTTTCAGCCTCCCCGTAGGCACCACAAGCAATGAAATGGGGTGGGGGGGAGAATCAGCAGCAAAGGAAAAGAGCTGGGTTCAGTTAGGATCAGGGAACAGGCCAGGAGGAAGCAGCAGGGACATGGGAACAACTGGTCCTGGATGGCAGGACATGCACCATTGGCTGCAGGGAGTCCAGCTCCAAATGGGAGAGGGTGGATTTGGGGATAACCTCAAGCCCACAGTACCCAGAGCAGGCTCTATCCATCAAGGGAGAGCTACAGCCCATGGGCCGCAGCCTGCCAAGGATGCAGTGGGGATGGGTGGCAGGAAGGACGGACGGAGCATGGCTCATGCCTGGGGCAAAGCGGGCACAGGGACACTCAGCGGGAACAGGGATGTGGAAAACCCATCCCAGGGAGCAGAGGTTGGCTGCAGCCAGTCCAGCCCCGACCCCGCAGGGCTCTATTTCTGCATGTCACACTGCAGGAGGAGGACGATGGAGGGGTCGCTCCTCGCTGCCTCCTTGAACTCCTCCAGGGAGATCTGGTCATCCTTGTCCTTGTCCATCTTTGTGAAGATCTTGTCGACGCGCTGCTGCGGTGTCAGCCCGTCTTGGTTCATCCTCATCATGATCACAGTCCCCACCATCTTGTAAATGGCCTGCAGGAACAAGAGGAGCAAAGGATCAGAGTGGGAATGTTGGATGGACAGAAGGTTCCAAGACAAGGCAGGAGACATGACCATTGCTTTCTGGGAGCCCACATGAGCTATGTTGCTGCACAGCTACATCAGGTGCTCAGCAGGTACCTTTCAGACAAAGCTCTGGGCAGGAAAAGTCATCCTTTAGTGCCAAAAGGACCCAACAGCTGGGAAAAGCCTGGGCAAAGCCAGCTACCCCTGCTGCTTTTGAGCCCCGGTACCTCAATGATCTCCAGCATCTCCAAGCGCGTGATCTTCCCGTCCCCATCCAGGTCGTACATCTCAAAGGCCCAGTTGAGTTTCTGCTCAAAGGTGCCCCTGGAGGTGACGCTCAGGGCGCAGATGAACTCCCTGAAGTCAATGGTCCCATCGCCGTTCTTGTCGAAGGTGCGGAACGCGTGCTGGGCAAACTTGGAGGCATCTCCATAGGGGAAAAACTGCAGGGAGGGGAGAAGAGAGAGGTGGAAATGAGGAGGGGGAGCTACAGGGTGTTGGAGCCCTGGAGGCAGCTCTCAGCCCCATCCAGTGGAGCCCACCTTGATGTAGAGCTGCTGGAACTCCTCCAGGTTGAGGATACCGGTGGGACAGTCCTTGAGGAAGCCCTTGTACCACTGCTTCAGCTCCTGCTCGCTGAACTCCGTGCTCCTCACCAGGTCATCCAGCATCTCCGGGGCCAGTTTGCTGCTGTGCTTGCCCATGGCTGCCCCTGAGAGGGAAAGCATGGGTCTGACACAGCAGGCATGGAGAGGGCTGGTGCTCCCAGGCCCTCCCTCCACCCCGGCAGCTGGTTAACCCCACACCATGATGTCCATTGCCCTCTAAAGATGGGACAAAGAAGAGGCAGCACAAACCCTCCCTGGCACCGCTGGCCTCACAGCGCCCAGCTGGTGGCCAAGCAGGGGGTGAGGACGGGCTGTGCCGTGGGGCACGGGCAGAGCCTGTGTGTGTGGGCAGGCCGTGGAGCCTCTTCGATACACGCCGTGCCCGCTCCCACGCAGCGCCGGCTGCCAGCGCGGCACAGCCCGAGCACCAGATGGTTTGCGGAGAGCTCCTGGAGCTCCTCTCTCCATGGAGTTGAGCAGAAGTTAACCTGGAGCCTGACCAAGCTCCATCTCCCATCCAAGCATCTGATTTCCTGGCCATGTGGGCTCAGGGACAAGGGGGCACCCTGCGATGGGCACAAGCCTCCCCCCAACCCCTCCCGCAGGAATGCGAGGCTTCCATCCAGCCCCCTCCCAGCGACTCCCGCAGGCAGAGGCTGCTTCCTGCCCCATCATCCTACCGGCATCTGCCACCGTCTGCTGTGGCAGCGCTTAACCCACCACCCCTCTGCAGCCAGCACTGAGGAGACATCCAGACACCCACAGAGCACGACGCTTCCCAGTGATGCCCAGCTCGGCCGTGGAGCTGCACGAGCCCTCCTGGCATCAGAGCCCAGCTCTGACCGGCAGGGACAGGTTAATCCCCACCGGGTACCACACTCATGTCATCCTGCATCTCCCACCACCGCGCTGGTGGGTGAGTACAGCCCCTCACCAGCCCAAGGGGCAGCTCTTCCCATCAGGGAACAGCAGTGAGGACCTTTGCTAGAAGCATCACACCGTATCCTGCAAGCCAAGCCCTCAAAGAGCCCAGGACTCAAAAGCAGCATCCTTTGGTCCAGACCTCGATTCCCTTCTGAGCAAGACCCAGCACAGGCCATGCCAGGACAGGGGACAGCAGCAGGGACAGTCACCCGCTTGGCATGAGCTGCTCATCTCAAACCACCGATACCATCATGGGCCATGGGCTGTTGGTCCCAAAACAGGACAGAGGAAGGGTCAGCACGAGTGTCCCAGCACCCAGCATCACCCACTGGGTCGGCACCCATCGGGAAGCAGGGGAGGGGATGGACGGGGCGGCGGGGCCGGGGGCTGCTCTGCCCACCCGGGGGTAGCTCCGGGGCACCGACCCCGACAACCCCGGGGAACCGAGTCCCAGCCCCGGGGGGGACGTGGCCCCGGCGGCCCTTACCTGGCGTGCGGCGCTGACGGCGGCGGGGCCGGTGCCGGTACCGGAGGGGCCGCGGTCCAGCCCGGCGGCTCTGCCCGCGCCGCTCCCGCCCCACTTGTAGCCGCGGGCCGTCCGCCCCCCCACCGGCGGCAGCGTTCACCCATTGGCTGGGAGCGCTGTCAATCAACCGAGGGGCAGGAGGGGGGGTCGAGGTGGGATACTGGGGGATATTGGAATGCTGGTGGAGGGAAATGGCACTGGGAAGCTGGGGGATGCTGGAGGGGAAAGTGGAGAGAGGGATGCTGGGGGGATGCTGGGGGGATGCTGGCAGTGGGATGCTGGGGGGATGCTGGCAGTGGGATGCAGGGGGGATGCTGGCAGTGAGATGCAGAGGGGATGCTGGCAGTGGGATGCAGGGGGGATGCTGGCAGTGGGATGCAGGCAGTGCTGGTTCAGCATCAGGGATGCTGCAGGCCCTGCCTGCCTGGGGGTGCTAGCCTGGTCACCAGTGAGCAGAGCCCTCCTGCACTCCCTGCCCTGATGCTGCTTGCTGCTTGTTTCCTTCTCTCTGCCATGCTCACCTGCCTCTGGCTCCTGTTCCTGGTGTGCCTGACCCCAAAGCATCCCAAAATCCCTTCCCTTGTGCTTGAGGGCTGGCAAAGGCCGTGCTGCCTGTATCCCCCTGCCAGGCACCCAGCAAGGCCCCACACTGAGGGGGGCACACCAGGACCTCCCTGCTTGGCAGAGCAGCAACAAGCACAGAGGGGAAAGGGCCCATGAATCTGCCCTGATCTCCAGAACCAAACGTGGAGTGTTTGCATGGCGGTCACTGGTGGCTCTTCCCAGTGACCTTGGTCATCCCACCATGATCCCAGTGCCACCCTTGCAGCTGGTGGCCACTGAGCTGGGATGAAGTCTCCAGCCAGCCACGGCTGGTCCCACACCCTGGTTCCCAAGGGGACTGTGGGATGCCATGGGGTGCTCCCCTTTCCCATTGGGGCTGCAGGGACCCATCATGCTGGGGGCAGAAGGAATGGACACCCCATGGCTGGACACACATCCCTGCACCATGCCCTTGGCCAGGGATGGATCCCCACCTGGGCTGGGGTGATTCAGCCCCACAGCTTCCAGGTCCCTCCACCGGGCACATGGCCTCAGAACCTCTCCATGAGCCTCTCCAAGAGCACAGGGGGATGAGCATTCCCCCCCCAGCACCCCATGGCTGGTTCTCATGTGCTCAGCTCATGGGACGGGCTGTGCCAAAGGGGCATGAGGTGGCTGGAAGAGGTTGGGGAGCACCAGGCTGTGGGTGCCACAGCGATGCCCTGGGGCTGCTGTAGGGTACTGGGGTGCCCAACTTTATGGGGCTATGACACCCCAAGTCCCGGTGCTGGGGAAATGGGAACGGCCGCGCTGGTGCCCTCAAGCACCGGGCTGGAGCACCCGGCTGAGCCCAGCGGCTAGATCGGGGTACCCCAAAACCCTCGCATGAGCCCAGGCTCAACTGGGATGTTGGCCCTGGGGCAGCAGGGGGGCTCCAGCCTGTCTGGGCTCTGCAGACGGCTCTGGCTCCACGCTGCCCTTTGCTCCCCACTCCCGCAGCAGCGTCACCCCAGCTCCGTGCCCCGGGCTCGGTGCAGAGCTCCCGAAGTCCCCGTTACCCAGCGGCGCTGCGGATGCGAAGGGCTGCAGCTTCCCCCAGCGGCTACGGGCTGCAGCAGCACGGCCTGGGGGGGGCAGTGCCCAACGGGGGGGGGACATCATCCCTTGGGGAGCAGCCACACGAACCCCTCCTGGCCTGGTGCGGGGAGGACCCGAGGGAGGATGGGTGATGCCGCCTGGCCAAAACGGGGTTCCGGGGGCACGCGTCTGGTTTGTCCCCACGGCAGTGGCACCGGGGGGGTTACGTGGCTGTCCCCACGGTGCCATCCATGGGCTGTGCTGGGGGCTAAGGAAAACGTGGGGCTTCCCCCCCCCCCCCCCCCCCCGCGCTCAGAGCTATGACAAGGGGTGGGGGGCACACAGAGGCACCCACTCGGTGTCACCGCGTCCCCCAGGACCACGGAGCAGCCCCGCAGCGGGACCCACAGCCCGGCCCCCGGCAGCCGCCGGCGCGCAGGGGGTTAAACCTCCCCGCCTTGCTCGCGCTGGAGACGTCACCGTCACCCGTGTCGGGGCCGGGGGGGTTATGGTGGTCTTTGTGGTGCGCTCCGCGCTGGCGCAGGGCTCACGGCGCTTCGCAGCGCTCCGCAGCACCCGCAGGCACCGGCCGCCGCCTTCAGCCCCCTCCGACACGGTGAGAGACCGGACATGGGGGGCACCGGCCTGTAGACGGGGGGGGGGGGGTGGGGGTGTAGCAGCCGCTGGTTGTGTCCCCCAGGGACCCAAACCCGTGTGAGGGCCCCTCTTTGCACCCCCAAGCCCGGTGCACCCAGCATGGGGATGCGCGGCGGGTGCAGCTCCCCACGGCGGGATGATGCTGCAGCCCCGGGGGGGGGGACCTGGGTGGGTGCGGGAGCGTGGCGGGGTGCTGCGGCTCGGCTCCTGCGGTAAATCCTGCCGCTCACCCGCAGCCGCAGAGACGGAGGCCCCCGGCACCCCACCGGCCCCGCTCCGGGGGGGGGGGGCTGAGCCCCATGGCGGGACCCACTTCTCCTTCCAGCCACGGAGGTCTCCAAAGCGGGGGGTGACAGCCCCGGGAAACCCCAGCTCCACCCCGATGCCCCGGCTCATCCTGGGGCAGCATCCGGCCCTGGCACCCTGATTCCCAGGATAAGGCCCCCCCCCATGAAATAATCCTTCAGGCACCGCACTTCCGACCCTGCGGCTGCGGCGATGCCAGCGTGGCCATGGGTGGGGGGCAGCGGCAGGAGGGGCTCAGTGGTGGCGGTGGGCACCCAGCGGGCACCCAGTGGTGCGGGGGGGGGGGTGTGTGGGGTGTGTGAAGGACGTGGTGCCCGGTCAAGGGAAGGGGCACACAGCCCCTGCCCAGGGAGCGGTGCTGCACAAGGCTGCAGTGCCCACAGTGATGGCAAAGGGGCACAGCCCCAAGATAGCCCCAGGTGACACCGGAATGGCCTGATCCGGAACATCGGTACCCCTTTGGGGTGGACAATAAGGGCTCTGCTAGCATGTGGGAGGCGATGCTCCTGGGTGCAGGATTTGGCCATCAGCTGGGATGTCCCCATGGAGGTGACACCCTCCACAGGGTTCCCATGGGGCAGGATGCTCGGGAGCAGCAGTGCTGGGTGGGTGCCTCTCCCAGCAGGGTTGGGGATGTTCTGTGGGCCCCCGGGCCAAGCACCTGGGGCCATGGAGGGTGCAAATCAGGGACTGGGCCCCAAGTGGAGCCATCCCTGCAGACCAGGGGGGCTGCAGCCATCTCCATATTCCCACCCAGCACTGAGCCCCCTTGCCACGGCTCAGGCCCCAAGCCAGGGCATCCTCATGCTGGGGACGGTGGGGACCTGTCCTTGCCCCCTCCCTGGGCACAGGCAGGGTTCAGCAATGACAAATCTCAGCCCCAAGCCGCCTGTCAAGGACAACCGTGGCACTGGCATGAGCGCAGCCTGTGTGAGTGCCAGAGGAGGGGGTGCAAATCTCCCCCCTTCCACTGCTCTGGGCACCCCAGGGAACCCCCAGCACCATCCTGCGGAGCCCAGAACACCACCAAAACCACCCAGCACCCAGCAGGATGAACCCCGGGGTCACTGCACCAGGGCAGCCCTCGATGCCTTTGTGCCACTCTAGGGTACAAACACACAGCACACATAAATAGAGGCAGGGGGTGCAGTGGGGAACTGGGGTGCTCTGGCTCCCCAAAAGCAGCCTGGGTTGTAGCACCAGCCTGGTGCACCCCGTGCAGCCTCAATGTAAAACCACTGCTTCCCTGGCCTGGGAGGAGGAGGACGGCAGAGCCATCACTGTTGATGCTCAGGGGCTGAGCTGGGGCTGAGCGGGGAGCTGCTGCTGCTTCCTTCGGCTCTTCCTCTCCCATTCCCTCATCACATTAATTAAACCCTAGTGCTTAATTACAACTTGCTGAATCCCTCAGCTGCTTCCCAGGGCCAAACCCATGGGGACAACTCCGACCCCCCCCCCCACCCCCTTAGGAAACGTTGGAGATGGGGGAACGTGGGGCGCATCCTGGCACCTGCAGGATTTGGGTTGTGGCTCAGCAGCAGCATAAAGGGATCTTCATGCACCGCGTGGAAAAGAGCAAACCCAACCAGCAGCGCCGGGAATGTCATCCCTGGGGGCCTTGGTCTCTCCAAGGGGAGATGGGGACAGATGGCTCAGCCCCGGGGTTGTCCCTGTGCTGTCCCAAGGGGATGGGGATGCTCAGCCGGCTGCTGGCAATAGAAAACAAGGGAGGTAAATCAGATGAAGGCCGGTGGCAGGGTGCGGGATGGGGCTCCCCCAAGGGCATGGGGTGCCCATGGGGTGTCCTGACCATCCTGCCTTCCTGCCTGCAGGTCCCTGCCAGCCCATGAAGTGACTCAGGCGGGTGGCACAGCCCCTGCTCCTGCCATAGCCGCCGCACCGGGCACCGAGGTAAGGACCGGGGGCCATGGCTGTGGAGCAGGTGGGACCCCAAACAGGGTCTGTGGGGCTGAAATCCCAATTGGAGCCTTACCCTGTCCATAGGGGGTGCCGAGCCCCGTCACTGGGGAATTGGCCTGACCCTATGGGGGGAACTGGGGTGTCTTGGGGGGGGCTGTGGGGACGGGGCACCCATTCACAACCCGTGCTCCGCTCCCCGTTCTCTCCCCGCCGCGGCACTCGGTGCCGGTTGAGCCGCCGCTCGCACCGGGGCTGGGGACCGCGGGGCCGGGTGCAGGTGGGGGCTCGGGGCGGGGGGGGGGGTTGTGGTCCGGCCGGCGGTTGCCGGTGCTGTCGCACTGAGCCGTGTTTCTCTCGCTCAGGTCCGCTGGCCATGGGCAACCTCATAAAGGTACTGGGCAAAGACTTAGAAAACTGCCCTCATTTTTTCCTGGATTTTGAAAGTAAGTCCCGGGAGCGGGGAGGGCCCGGGGGGGGGGGGGGGGTTGGAGCCGGGGCCACCGGTGCGGCTGCTCTCCGCACCACGGGGATAGGCATCGGGGTGTCCCCAGGCGCCTCGGGGCAGCCCCACAAAGCGCTGAGTGCGGCAGGGGAGCAGGACCCGTCCCTGCCCCATCCCTCAACGTGCGGGGAGGCGTTCCCTGGCTGAGCCCCCGTGTCCTGGCAGCGGGACCCGGCCCCTGAGGACCTCAGCCACATGCGGTGGCACCGGGTGGCCGTGTGGGACGGGCGGGAGGCCGGGAATGCCGGGGAAGGAGGAGGGAAGGATCCTGTGCTGCAGGACGGGCGATGCTGCGGTCGCAGCCTGCATCCGAGGATCCGGGCTCAGGGACTCCAGTTCAGCCCAGGGGACCTGCCCCGGCTTCCGCTGGCCCGCGCTAACTGGGACACGGCTCAGACCTTCCCGGCTGGACGCGGGTGTGCGGGAAACGGCGGCCCCCACGGCAGAATCGGGACCCGGCGCAGTCCGCCCCCCCCCCTTTGCTTCCTCTCCCCACCTTCCTCCGGGGGCACGGCCCAGAGCAAGGGGGAGGTAAAAGCAGCGCAGCAGCAGCCGCTCTCCTCGGCCCCTGCTCGTCCCAGCGCCACCGGCACCGGCACATCCCAAAGCTGCCGGGCTCGGGTCACGCCGCCGCCCCGCTCCCACGGTGAGGGACCTTCCTGGCTCCTCCTGCGGCCTCTGAGCCTTCGCCCACCTCCAGCCCCTTCCGCGGCCCCTCCACGGGGATGTGGCTGGGGGGGGCTCCCCACGACCCCCGTCTCAGGGCTGGCTCTGCAGCTGGAGGCGGGGACACTCCTGCAGCCAAGACTTGAGGGACCTGCTCCCCACTTCGCCCGGCGGCTCTCGGCTCTCTCCTCCCTCTGCTCCTTCCTCTCCATCACCCCATCCGCCAGCGCTCATCACCATCGCGGGGGAAGAGGCTGCAGCCGGGGCCGGGAGCAGCCGCGGGGTCACCCCGAGCCCTAGGGAGCCGTGGGGCTGGGGGGACGGACGGGGGCTCCGGCCGCCGCCGGTCGCTTCCCGCAGCCCAGCACCTCTTCCCCGAGAACCACCTCACCATCATGCTTTTTGCCTCTTGTTTCTTCTCTTGCAGGTTTCACATGGGGAACCTTCTAAAAGTGTTGACTTATAACGAGCTTGACCAAGGCCCTAATTTTTTCCTTGACTTTGAAAGTGAGATGGGATTTTTATTTCCCTTTTTCGTTCCGTGCTTCTCCTGAGTTCCACATCCTCACCATTTTGAGTTCTCCTCCCCGCCGCCCATCGCATCGCGCCCATCCCAGACGTCCTCCCCTCACCTTTGCTGTCCAGGGGTCTCCCCGGGGAGGGGGGGGCCGCGGCCGCAGACCCATGGCCGGGGGCTATCGCTCCCCACCTCTTCCCCGGGGCAGTTTGCAGCCCGTCGGGGCTGGGGGCTGCTCGAGGACCCCCCCCCCCCCGTCTGCAGGACCACGGTCGCAGGGCAGCCAGGACTCACCCCCACCCTCCTCAGCCTCTGGCTTGGCTCAGTCTTGAGCAAGGAGATGGACGAGGGGGAGAAACCCGCCAGGAAGGGCTTTGGGCCGGCGGGGGAGCCGCGGGAGCGGGGCGCTGCTCCCCACCTCGGCTCTCGCCTCTCGGGGCCCCGCTCAGAGCCCTCCGGGTTTCTCTCCCCGGGGGTCTGCCCTGCAGATGCGCAGCCGACGGCGGCCGAGACTGCGGTGTGGAACCCGGTGAACGCGGTGCTGGAGGAGGCGCAGGCGGTGCTGGCCGAGCTCCAGTCCTACACGGGCGCGGGGCAGGAGATCCGGGAGGTGGGTGCAGCCCCGGCTCCCCCCCCGGTCACTCTCCCTCCGTGCCCTGGGGCAACCTCGGGTGCTCCCCCCGCCTCCGCAGGCCATCCAGAACCCCGCGGACCCGCGGCTGCAGGAGCGCGCCTGGGGCGCCGTCTGCCCGCTCGTCGCGAAGCTGAAGCGCTTCTATGAGTTCTCCCTGCGCCTGGGTGAGTGCCCCCAGGTGCGGGCCCTTCCCCACATCCCTCCATGGGGGGGGGGCACACACAGAATCCCAGGGTGGTTTGGGTTGGAAGGGACCTGAAGATCATCCAGTTCCTCGCGTTAGACCACGATGAGCAAGGCTCTGTCCCAGCTGGCCTTGAACGCTGACAGGGGTGGAGCATTCACAACTTCTCTGGGCAACCCATTCCAGTGCCTCAGCGCCATCACAGCCTCTGTGTCTGACCTGAACTCCCCCCGTTTCAGTCTGAACCCATCACCGCTTGTCCTATCCCTACAGTCCCTGATGAAGAGCCCCTCTCCAGCATCCTTGTAGCCCCCTTCAGACACTGGAACATCCCCCCCATTGCACCCCACACCCCTCTGTGGATGCAGGAGTGGGGCAGAGTGGGGGGAGCCCTGGCCATGGGGTGGATGCCACACTGCCCCGTGCCTCAGTTTCCCCAGCTGGGGCTGGGGACATGTGGGGGGGAGGGGACCAGCAGTGCTTTGTCCCCAGAGAACGCGCTGCGGAGCCTGCTGGAGGCCCTCACCAGCCCCCCGTACGCCCCGACCCAGCACCTCGAGCGGGAGCAAGCCTTGGCCAAGCAGTTCGCAGAGATCCTGCACTTCACCCTCAGCTTCGATGAGCTCAAGGTACCTCCCCATGGGGTGGCTGCAGGCTCTGCACGCTCAGACCCCCATTCAAACCCCATGAGCCCCTTGGGACCCCCAGGGGGCAGGCTCTGGCCGTGACCCCTTACGCAGGGCTCTCCTCCACAGATGACCAACCCTGCCATCCAGAATGACTTCAGCTACTACAGAAGGACCATCAGCCGAAACCGCATCAACAACCTGCAGGTGAGGGGGGGTCCCAGGGCAGGGGATGGCTCCTGGGGGTTCCACCACCCCAGCACCGCCCTCATGTCCCCCGCAGCTTGAGGCAGAGAGCGAGGTGAACAACGAAATGGCCAACAGGATGTCCCTTTTCTACGCCGAGGCCACCCCCATGCTCAAAACACTCAGCAACGCCACCACCAAGTTCGTTTCCGAGGTGAGGGGGGGGATACTTGGGGTGGGGGAAGCCCCCTCCAGCCCCAATGGCATCAGATGGGGCTGGAGGTCCCATGGAGCGCCAGGAGGGGAAACAGCATCCGGGATCTTGGGTTTCAGAACAAGACGCTGCCAATCGAGGACACGACCGACTGCCTGAGCACCATGGCCTGCGTCTGCAGGGTGATGCTGGAAACCCCGTGAGTACCCCACAGGGGTTGGGGGGCACGTCTGGGTGCTGGGGTGCTTGCCCCCCCACCCCACCCCGGGCTCAGCCAGCCCCTCTCCTGGCACAGAGAATACCGGAGCCGCTTCACCAACACCGAGACCCTCCTCTTCTGCATGCGGGTCATGGTTGGTGTCATCATCCTCTACGACCACGTCCACCCCGTGGGGGCTTTTGCAAAGACCTCCAAGATCGATGTGAGTGGCAATGGGGTGCTCCAAGGGGGCACTGCCATAGAATCATGGAATAGGGTTGGAAAGGACCTTAAGATCATGCAGTTCCACCCCCCCCCCCCCCCCCCCCCCGACATGGGCATCCCAATGTAGATGGGATGCCAGGGTGATGATCCCTATGGGAATGTTTCTGTCTGAGCGGGTCCGGAGGGGAACTCAGCGAGGAGGAGGATGGGGAGGAAGGGACCAGCTCCTTGCAGCGCATCCAGGCTCTCACAGCCTCTCTCGCTCCCCCCACCAGATGAAAGGCTGCATTAAAGTCTTGAAGGACCAACCCTCAACAAGCACCGAGGGGCTCCTGAACGCTCTGAGGTGAGGCAGGGGGCCGGGGGCTCCCCCCATGGCGCAGGGCTGGGGTGCCGTGGGGTGACTGTGCCCTCTCTGCCCAGGTACACCACGCGGCACCTCAACGACGACACCACCTCCAAACAGATCCGGGCGCTGCTGCAGTGAGCGACCCCGCGCACGTCCCCGGCTCGGCGATGCCATGACCATAGCGCTCATCTTGTACAGAGGGACAAGGAGGGATGCGCCGAAAGGCAGAGAGATAAAAGCAGCCCGAGGCTGTGCCCGGGGGGACCCCTCCTCCCAAATCCCCCCCCCCGCTGGACACGAGGTGCGGGTGGCACCATGGGGACACCGCAATCAGGTGCTGGGGCTGGGCAGCGTCACCCCTAACCCCATCGTCATCCCGAGGAGGAGGAGCAAGCATCCCTGCAGACCTGCGCTGACCGGTGGCAACGGCTCGGTCTCCTCTCATAGACTTTGAATGAGAGCAATTAAATCTCCACTCACCTTTCCTTTTCTACATGGATTTATTTGGGGGTGAAATAAAACGGCATTTACTCTGCTGCTGGCCGGAGCTGGGCCGTCTCTGCTGCGCCCCGTCCCAGCACCCTGCACCATGCTGGATCTCCGTGTCCCATCCACGACACCCCTGGGACCACATCCCCCTTCCACGACACTTACCCCGGCTGGGACAAACCCCACCTCCGGCCATGTCTCAACCCTACAGTGACACCAGCAGGAGCTCCTGGAGGGACAAGGAACAGGGGCCGGTCCGAGGGGCTGCCCCCCAAGCCGGCCGATCCAGGGCACCCTCCTTCCCCAGCGCTCCATCACCTCCACAAGGGAAGCACTGGGACGCTGCCGCTTGCCTTTGCCGGCAGATGGCCCTGTGACACCGCGACAAAGCAGCCCCGTGCTTTCCCCCGCACACACACCTTGTGCCACCTCCGTTGTGGGGGGACCCGCTCAGCCTGAGCCCCCCACCCGCAGCACAGGGCCCAGTGCCAGCGCTTGGCGGGGCTGTGTCACCCCCATGGGGACACCCCTGGGACCCTCAGCCCAGCATCCCTGGGGTCACTGGGGTTGGTGCCCCACCACCGCACCGTGCTCCGCTTCCTGAGGTCCTTCCCACCGCAAAGCTGCCCCTGCTGCTGCCCCATAGCCCCCTGCACCGCCAGGGCCCGTGAGCACCCCGCGTGTGGCACCCGGACCACACAGCCCCCATGCACGGTGCCCGTGCCTCAGTTTCCCCACCTGTGCAACGGCTGCATGGGCAGGGTCCCCCTGGACACCCCCTGCATCGCTCAGGGTGCCAACACGGGGACACCATCGCGCCCGTTGCAACCGGGCTCAGTCCCGTGTCCACCAGCACGGCAGCCCCAGGGGGGACACGAGGGGATGAGGAGCTGGGGGTAGACCTGGCAGCCCTCATCCCTCTGCTTCCCGGTGTTTTCCAGGCCCGGTGCCAGGATCTTTGCCGCCAAAGCGGCTGAGCTCCCGCGCGGCACCACCTCAGCAAACAGCTCCTTTTATTTCCAGGCTCTTGCACCACACGCCCCGTGCATCCCGCCTGGAACGCTGCCGAGGCGCTCAGTGATGTGCCACGGGATCCAAAGCGCCCTGCCCCGCTCCCAGCCCCACCAGCGCGCAGAGCAGCTCCATGCACCAGCCCTGCCTCAGTTTCCCCACCCCAGGAGTTACCTTTGGCCTGGGGATCCCGAGGGCTCGCTCCCACTGAGCCCATCCCCAGGGGCTCCGCAGCACCGTGATCCCACTGGGAACTGAGGAGGAGGCCAGGGTTCAGTGGCTGGGTCTGATGCGTGTCTGCGGGAGCTGCGGCACATCCTGCACCAACGAGGGGGTGAAATTCCCTGTGGGATGAGCAGATGGGAGCGTTCCACAGCCAAAACACGGCAAGGAAAGGGAACCAAAAGGTGAAGGAAATGGAAGCAAGCACAAGTCCTGGAACATCACAGCCAGACGCTGGATCTGGGACTAGCAAAGGGGCTTTGGGTGCTTTTTGCCTCAGGGATGGTGGCCTCAAGTGAGAGCCCCACCTCCAGTGCGTGATGTGGAGCTGTGGAAGGGGCTGGTGAAGGCTGGAGGCAGTAGGTGATGGGGAGGCGGATGGTGGGATGCTGCCCCTGTATCCCTGGCTCTGGACACAAGGATTCAGGCTGCACCAGCAGCCCTGGTGCCAGTCCATGGGGACGATGCTCTGCCACAGGGCTCCTCCAGCCCAAGCTCTTCAGCTGCGGTGCTCGGCCAGGGCAGGGCACCGAGGACTTTAACGGAGCGCCAAGCCCTGCCAGGCCTGTGCTGTTTTCCTAATCCCAGTGGAATTAATGACCTTATCTTTGGCCAAAGCCATTTAGATTAAGTGGCTGGTGTGATGGGCTCCGGCTCCGGCTGCACAGATGGAAGAGCTGCGTTTGTCTGGGGATTAGCGAGGGCAGATGGAGGGAAGTGCCATTGCCCATCCCTAAAGCTCCCGGCCCCGCCAGCAGCCTGAAACCAGAGACCACAACAACTTTCTCAGTGACTCCTGCTTGGGTCTGCAGTGATCTGATCGGAGGCCACTGCCTCTCAGGAAGCAAACTCCCCTGCTTCTTGCTGCTGGCAGCATCCGGGCACGACCACCTTCCATGTCCTGGACCACACAGCATGAACAAGCAAGAATGAGAGTCCCATCCTGCTGGGACACCCAGGAGCTGCTGTCCTCAGACCAGGGCACTGCAGCGGTGGCAGGGACCTGGAACACCCTGTCCATGCTGGCCGCAGCACAGCCTCTGTGAGTGGCTCTGGACCACAACAGGCAGACTAGCAGCTATTGTGCTAGAGGAATAACATTTATCAGTGGGGATAACAAAGTTCATATTTAAGGACACTAAATCTGGTTCTAACAGTGTAGTCATCTGCCTGCACCCAGGAGACCGCAGATAATCCCACCCCTCATTCAGAGAGCTGCCCAAGGATCCCAGCTTGGCCTGGGGATGTGACTGAACCCATCTACACCCAGCACACAGGCAGGGAATGGGGCTTTACACACCCGGCCTCACCTCGTCCATCTGAGCCAGCAGAACCCCTTGGCCATGTGCTCCAGCGCTGGGCTGAGCCCACATCCACGTACACTGAGTCACTGGATGGCAAACAAGTCTGGGCTGGAGAAGAGGTTCAGCTGCTGCTGCACAGACCCAGCAACACAAACGTGGTGCCTGGCATCTCAGGAGGCTGACGCCCAGCTCTGCCCCAGTGCTGGCAGAGAAAAGCCAACGTGAATTCCCGGCTCTTCCCTGTATCCTCCCCACATCCCTCCCAAACAGCCCAAAGCTGCTGCCCAAAGCAGTTACAGAAATCACCCCAGTGCTGAAGAGCACAGACTGGAAGGTTAACATGATCCCACTGGAGCAGCACCTCCAGAGCCTGCACCCATTCAGCCCTGCGAGATGGCTCTTGCGCAAGCAGCTGAAGGAAAACACTGTGTTCTGCCACCCAAAACCCTGCCAGGAGGAACCAACCGTCTTGACTGCATTTGCCAGGAGTCGCAGATGCCCATCCAGGCCCTCGCTGTTCCACCTGGCAGGGATGATGCTGCGGAGACCAACTGCCTGCAGAATGTGGCACAAGGAATTTGCTGCTCAGCAACTCGGATTCAACTGCAGGGCTGGTTCCCGTTGCCAAACCACAGCGTAAAGCCCCGGGAATTCAGCTCTAACTGGGACAGATTCTGCTGCAAACTGGATGAGATCACTTCCAAGTTCCTGTTTAACAGGTGCCAGCTCCTTCTGCACCTGCTCCGTGCATTGGGATCAGACGGCTTCCACAAGAAGGGAACATCTGCTCAGCTCCCTTGGAAGCTGCAGGAAAGGCGGCTGGAAGAAGGGACCAGGCCTGACCCTCCCACCCCATGCCCAGAGCAGGGAAGCTGGGCCAGGTGGAAACAGCAAGAAAACAGCGCTTGGCAATGGGGAAAGGAGCCCACCGATCATCCTGCAACTTTATTTCCATATAAAAGAATATTCCTCTCCACAATAAAGGCAGCAAGAGCTCGCTCAGCTCTGGAGCTGCACCCCTGGCCAAGCTGGAGGAGGGCAGGGTATTCCTGTCTCCAAGCAGGACACATTCACACGGCAGCTCTACCATTCCAAGCATAATGCTGTCTCCAGCAGGAATTAACACCTGGCACAGGAGGATGCTCCCAGCAGCCTTGCCCCAGGGCCCAGCCCTTTCCAGGCAGCGTTGAGGAAGCATGGGAACACGGCACGATGATGCCACACGAAGAGGATCCGAGGCGGCCTTTGGCCATCACTTACACACCTGCCTCAGCCCTCGGCTCACTCAGTCCAAGGCCACCCAGGACCAAGTCGCCTCCTCCCCTTCAGAGGCAGGTTGGAGCCCTACGGTGACGGCTGGCTGCTGTCCTCATCCGAGGTCGCTGCACCTGCACTGTCCCCCTCAGCCTCTGCAGCACGGCTGGCGGCCTCCAGCTTCCTTCTCCTCTTCAGATGGTGCAGGTGGGATTTGGAGCGTGTGTGAGCTGGAGGGAGACGCAAACGGAGCCTTTGATTCTGTGGAACAGCCAACCCCATGTCCCTGTGCAGCGTGGGGAGCCGTCCCTTCCCATCCTCCCACACAGTTCATTCCTACAGAGAAGTGACTTCCCAAGCCCTGCCCTGGCCATGAAGGGGGACAACCCTCCCAAGCCTCCTCCTGATCACAGGGAGGATGGGAGAGGGACAAACCCTGGTTCTGTATCCACAGAAGTCTCCAGATTGTCAGGACTCACTGAACTCTCCCAGCCAAGACAACACCGGGAGGCTGGGAGAAAGGGAAGTGTTATCAAAGAGGCAGCACACTGAAGGATGCAGCCAGGTTGTGCAACTCTCCACCACCCCATGGAGCCCTGCCAGGATCATTTATAGGCCTAGATGCCTGCACCACAGCACTGGGATCTCCTGTAAATCTGCAGAGCAGCTCAGGATGGAGCCCGGAGCATAATTAGGCTTTTGCATAACTCCAGGGCAAGGCCCCGAGCCATGAGAGCACTTAGCAGGAGGCAGGGGGAACAGAGGCATAATCCCTGGGATGCAGCTTGTCCTGACACAGGAGCTGCACTTGCTTGAAATCACAGAGTTAAGGGCAGTAAAATCTCCTGTATCAGTGGTGTTATCTAAGTAGAAGGCGCTTTGTCTAATCAGAGCCATGAACCATCTTAGCAGGGTGGTTTTGCTATTTCCAAGAGATCAGAGAAGCAATTAAAGCAGCAAACTTTCCAAGCAGGGCCTTCAATGAGGGGATGTGCTCACTGAATCATGGCCCTGAGGGGTTTTCCAGACATCCTTTCCTGCCAAGGGATGAAGTTACATGCAAAGCTGCTGCTTTATCACAATCGCTGTAGGGTCACCTCAGCCTGAAATCAAGTCTCACCTCTTACAAGCAACACCAAAGCTCTCAGTGGCTGGAGGAGGTGCTGCCTGGGAACAAGCCATCCACACAAAATCCACACAAATA